TGTTTTGTACATGGAATCCAGCTTGTTTTTGTTGTTCGATCGATTTCGAAGACTTGAGCTCGCGTTGTCCATATCGGCTGTTCTCTAGAAGGTTTAAAGAGTGGTTTTAACACTTCCTTGTTCAGAGCACGCTTCGTTGAACATTCTAGCGAATAAAACGGGAAAAAAATTCAAAAACATACCCCATGACATCGATTGTTTATGGCAAAATCTTGAGTTGTATTTTGTCAACCGTAACCCGCAAAATTTGTTTATCCTCGAAAGAATTTGAGAATTCCCGGTCCGCGGGTGGCCATATCGGGTGTGATAAGTGGTATGCGGGTTGAACCAGACCGCGCAACGATCGATTGATTGGGGGCGCTTAGCCTCCTCCGCAGGCAACTGTATAGTTCTGCAACGTTATTAACCATAAACGATTTATCAGGAACGTAGAAAATACAAGGAAATACTAGTTCTGAAATACGATATGATATTTATAATGAACATCGTTTTCGCCCCACTATTATCCCATTACTTCCTACATTATCCACAAGCCTCCCTATTTTTACGCTCCAGTGTTCATTATAAATATCATATCGTATTTCAGAACTAGTATTTCCTTGTATTTTCTACGTTCCTGATAAATCGTTTATGGTTAATAACGTTGCAGAACTATACAGTTGCCTGCGGAGGAGGCTAGGGGGCGCTGGTGTTGACATAAAAAAATCTCGTGTGAAGATTTTAAAATTTGTTACCGGGGGGGGGCCTTACCGGCCAATGATTATCGTATTGTAAAAGAACAATTACACAAATATGCAACGGTCAAGTTGAGTATTACTCTGCTTTGAAAATTACGCAGGCACGCGCAAAACACTTTCAAGACCAATAAGTTTCACCTTTCAAAACTGACCATTTTGATTGAGACTATGGCAGTGTACCATTTCCCGAGCCCCTCCCCCCGTCCCTGACATTATCACATAGTCATCATAGCCCCCCCCCGTCCCTGATATTATCACATAGTCATTATCACTAGATAAAACATGAGCGGCCGATCCTTACCTGATTTCAGATAAAGATCGGATGAGAATGTTTTATCGTTCTTATAAATCGACCCATCTTATGAGTTCATTGGCGAAGTAATTTTAAAAATAAACATTGTCTAAGCCGAGAAAATCAAAGCAAAGCTGAAGTTTATGCAAATCAGGACAAATCTTTATGCGATTTACAAACATTGTCATTGATTAAACATTAATTTCTTTTGAATTTTCTTCATGAATTATTAATGAGTTTTATAATAATTATTAAAAGTTCAGTTTTAATGCTATCCACTTCGTATAAGCTCGTCAATTCTGCTGATTTGCCGTGCCATCCATAGCAAATCTCAGTATTTGGTTAGCGGACGTTCACTCAACCATTTGTTTATTCCAGGGTTGTTCGAAACAGTGCTGTAGAGCTCTTTCAGTGCCATATGTTTATCCAACAATATTGATCCATCGTTTAACTCGTCGTTTTCTTTGAATTCTTGAATGATCTTCAAAACTGAGAAGAATATTATATCTGCATACGTCAGCTGTGAAGAAAATACTACTTTAACTCTTTAATCCCGTTTTGCTGACGTTATAAGCAATATCGACAAAGGTCTTTAAAGAGCTTCTACGTGTGAACAAATACTAATCAGTCGTACACACGTAAAAACGCACAACGGTTGTTACAGGTCTGCAAACAAGTTGTCACAAGTCTGTTCACAAGCTGTCGACAGATTGTGTTCGCACTGCTTGTTCCCAGTTGTTGTAACAAGTTTGGAACAAGCTGTTAACAACTAATTGTAACAAGCTTGATGGCATTATTAGACTTGTCACAAGGTTGTTCTGACAAATCTGAAACAGTCATAACAAGAATGTTACAAGATTGACGACACAAGGTTGTAACAATATTGATATATCATGACTGTATCGAACTTGTTAGAACAACCTTGCAACAAGTCTGATAATACCAACAAGGTTGTTACAAGTTGCTAACAGCTTGTTCCAAACTTAACTTGTTGACAACTTGGGACAAGCAGTGCGAATACAACTTGTTGACAGCTTGTTGGCAAACTTGTGAATAATCAAATTTTGGAAACACTTCATCATAAAAAGCAAAGTCATTTGACAAGTGAAAAATAAGTGTTGGCACTGCTTGCAATTGTTCGCATTTGTTGTGACTAGTCCGGAACAAGTTGTTATCATCTTGTTAGAAGATTGATAACGGTAACAGAATTTGCTATAAGTTGTTCCAACACGACTAACACAGGCTGTTCGTAACAAGTTGTTACCAACTCGTTGTCATCAACTTACTACGTGTAGACAATATGGATTTGTTGGAACAATTTGTTGCGAGTAATTTGTTGGCCTCTTCAACCTTGTTACAAGATGAAAGCAACTTATTCCAAATTTGTACATGTCAACGACAGGGAACAAACAGTCAAGCAGTGCAACGCATTGCGATTATGATCATTTTATATACATCTACCTTATTCCCAACAAAATACTTTCCATCGCAAGATTTCAGAATCTTATCCAAGTTTTCAAGCGTACGTGGAATACTTTTTTCAAACAATTCTTTGTATAATTTTTGCTGCAAAGTATAAGACAAAAGAATATGTATTCAGTGAGTCTGCTAGTAAACCTGGCGGAAAAATTGAGAAAAAGTGTTTAATGTTCTTCGGACCCGGACTGATTTGCCTTTTTCAAATGTTCCTCACTAAGAAAAATGCTCCTCAGGCTCCCGAAAATTTAAACTCAATATATTGAGTCAATCATTAACCAGTCAACTAAATGCGACGTTGTCTACAAAATCAATTCAATTTATCGCCTACAAACCTACAAGGCAGGTCCATTACCTTGGTCTCTTCATTCTCCTCGAAATGCCAATCGATTGCTTTATCAAAAAGATGGCCAAGACTTTCCGCAATCACGTCAGCTTTTGCGACTTCAAAACTCTCTGTTGGAGCAAACCCTTAACATTGAATAAACTTGGATTATTTCACCACGTACAGTCCAGTGTTTTCATTCAAGTCAATTATTTAGTTATATCCAATACACAATCAATAGAATGTCAATGTTCAGTGTTCCATTAAAACAGAGGCCGTTTCATGCATATATCATTATATACAATGATTTCGTACAAACCATTGATTGTGGCAAAATTTCACCATCGACTTCAAGAACAGGCAACTGGCCAAATGGTAGTTTTCCACCTAGAGAATTATGCGCAGTCTGTAGTCGCGTGTGAACTGTGAAGTCTGCCACTCATGCACGAGAGAAACTTGCCGAGCTAACTGCCTCGATCGCGTGGTGCAGGTCATCTCTCCGGTGTGCTGGCAGTGCTGCAGGCTTTAATTAAACTACTGAGCTTGGGAACTAAAACGGCAACGTCAATGAAGACGTCGACGTGCTCATCTACAATAGCATTTTACTCTCATAAACAAAGGCGACTATAAATTGTATTTGGTTGTTCAAACTTGACACACGCAAAAACCTCATATCCTGTAGCAAGTCTGTAACAACCTTGTTGATATTATATCAGGCTTGTTACAAGGTTGTTCCAACAAGTCTGATACAGTCATGATATAGCAATATTGTTACAACCTTGTGTCGTCAAATTTGTAACATTCTTGTTATATCATGCCGACTGTATCAGACTTGTTAGAACAACCTTGTAACAAGTCTGATACTGGTAATGCCATCAAGCTTGTTACAAGTTGTTAACAGCTTGTTCCAAACTTGTTACAACAACTGGGAACAAGCAGTTCGAACACAACTTGTCAACAGCTTGTGAACAGATTTGTAACAACTTGTTTGCAGACTTGTAACAACTTGTTCGTTTTTACGTGTGTATACTATGCATTTAGCTCATTACCACGACTCATACATAAAAAGTTAAGCCTGGTTACATTATCAATGTTTCTGTGATCACAGTAGGAATTTTGAAGGGTTTGTAAGAAACGTTTGAGGAAATTGATTCAGCTGTGATATAATTGTTTAAAATTCTTATTATTTAACACTGAATAATTTCCCTTCGAAACATTTCTTACAACTGATAATTCAAAACTTAGAATTTAATAATGCAAAATTCCTACTGTGGTAGAAGCTTTGATAGTGTATAAACCAGCTAGCCTTTAATAAAGCATTGCTCTGAGTTCAACCTACTGGCTTTTAATTCCTCGTATTTCTGCCTTGCTAGTCTGCAGTCCTCGTACTTTACTCCTGCAGCAGCAAATATCATGCGAGTCATCTCCGCCCGTCCTTTGCAGTCGAAATTTACGAGTTTATATTCGGGCATGATCATATATATAATATATATATATTTTATCGAATCCAGATAACTTGATCAAGTAAAGCTTGTATAGAGACTGTTAGTCACGTAAACTTTAGAAACTGATAACTGTTATATTCAGTTCAATGGGCCAATACCCGATCCGATCGTGTGTCCTAGGATTAATCTCTCGGAATATTGAACTAATCTCCGATTAGTACACGAAATTCAACCATTTTGGGAAGTATTAACAAAAAATCGCACGCGTGTTTGGAGAAATATTTAAAGTGCGTATTTAACACGTATATCAACATAACTGAAATATCTCATTCTTGGTGAAACAGAAGCACATTGAAAACAATTCTAGTGATTACTAAGGGACCAGTCATTATTTATGGCGAGGGGTGGCACCGAAGAGAAACGTTTTTATTGGTAAAAATTTTGCTGACCATTAAAAAGCCAAAATATTTTTTACCCAACCTCAAATATCAATTGAAAAATAAATACCCACCCCTGACCAAAATGATACCGTTCAGTTGTCACACATATGTCCTTTCCCATCTGTGACACGAGTTTGATAACTGCTTGTACAATTATCTGCAGTTTGAAGTTTCATGTTGTCTGCACGTGTAATTTCTTTGGAGACACCATTTGCTTCCTGACAAATCGGAAAATGATCAACTGATAGCGACTCTGATTGATTTACATACTGTATTGGCATATGACTGTTGACATCGATTTTTAGTCTTTAATATTTCAGTGAGTCGTGCTTTGGAAATGACAATAAATTTGTATCACCCAACCCTTGAGTTGTTTTGTTTTTCATTTACCCAACCTTTTATACTCACTCAAAATTTTGTTCACCCAACCCTTTTCTCTTTGGTGCCACCCCCCGGTCATAGACAATGATCGGTCCCTAATTGATGACGAAAACACAACGAAAATCTGGTTTGACTTAAAATTCGCAGAAATCTGAACTAAATTCCATTGCTTCAAAACAATACAATAAATAATGTTAACTGATCAACAATAAATAACATTTAATTATTAAATAAGTAATCTATACATACAAACAACTTTTGATTATCAAAATAATCAAGTTTCTCTATTCGTATCCTCATATATATAGTCAATAGAATTGGGAAACCAGATGCAGACATAATAGACTTCATTGGTTTATGCAAAAAAATGGTCGGTTCATCACATAGAAATATTAGACCTTTCGGTTTTATTAGGTTTTTCATCTTTACAAAACTTTTTTTTCCACATTAAATAAGTCTCAATATAATTTTTTTTGAAAACTTTGTTGAAAAAAACAATTCGCACTCCCTGCGACCGCGCGAAATTCCTTGCTGCAAGAGTCTGGGACTAGCCAAAATGCCCTTATAAATCCGCCATTTTGTGGAGACAAAATTTTTACTAAGAAAAGATAGGAGCACGCATTCTATGTCTATTATTTCTATGGTTCATCGTCACGTGTGTATTATTTTTTCGCCCAACCAATCAATAGCAGTGTGTTGGTTGGATTACCCAATCATGATATTACACAATGGTTAAATGAAAACATAGCTATTGGTTGGTCTAGCGAAACTACAATACACACGTGACGATGAACCGACCATATGTTGCAAAAACCAACAAAGATAATGAGGTCTATTATGCATGTTTGCATCGAGTTTCCTAACCTTATTCTATCGACTGTGGTTCTGCGCTGGGCCCAAATGGACAGAAGGCAAAATATTCTAGTACAAAAATAATTTAACTTGCAATTCTATTGTGGTATAAGTGAAGCACAAATAATGATTGAATACAGGGGGTAGGAAGCATCAAAAGATTGGAGGGGGGCACCAGCTTCCAGGGGCACTTTTGTATATTGAAAAGGGCACCTAATGGGGGGGGGGCATGTGCCGCCTGTGCCCCCCCCCCCCAATTCCTACGCCCCTGATTGAACAGTTCAATGCTTCGACATGTGTATTTTAGTGCATCCAGTTTCAACTACATGTTATATATAGTTCAGTTGTAATTTGGGCGCAGCGCAGAACGCGTCGTTTGGATGCGCAGTCGAACGCGTTCGAATCGGAATTTGCTTGTTCCGAGCGTAATTGATCTAACTCGGCGAAACATGTGGTCAGTTGAATTCCTACAATGCATGGTTGGTCGCAAACCAGCAAGGATATTAAATTCTAACCGCATTTGCTAGAAAGATACAAACTAACACACTTCAGCCTATCATTATTTACACGCGACATGGCCTGCAGAATTTTCATATACATAGACAAATGAGAGTATAGTGTACGTATTCGAATAAATATCGTGTAGCGTTTAATCCAGTGAGCATGCTATGCAAAGCTTGTTTTTACTGACGTTTCTGTCCGCTGAAAGAGGTTCCGATTTAACTTCCACTGCCACTCATTTGATTGGTTAATTTGGCAGATTAAATACATCTGATTGGTTAATGCATGGTAGAGGTAGTGCATGGTAGTCAAATATTAACGGCTATTAGCGCACAGATCTTGCACATGCCATAAATATATCCTCTTTTCGGCGTAAAAAAGTTTTTCAATCTAAGTATATGTATATACGTATGTGCATTCGCGTTGTCCACACTTTTGAAGGTGACTTTTTGAATGCAAATAAATAAATCGTGATTATACATAAATATTATGCACTTTTCGTTTCTACAATCGTTCGCCAATTGCGAACAGTATGCTACAATAAATAAACACAAATAATGTCACTGCCAGAAACATGTACAGCGCTGTTTATGAACAATTTCTTTGTATGTCAGTCAAAAACTTTACTTGCCACTCTGAAGAGTTCAGTTATATGCGCGCGCAAACTATGCTAAATGCTTTTAAGTACGTATGCGTTTTTCCCATAGAAATAATAGACAGATAATAGATAATAGATAATAATAGGTCTAATATTTCTATGGTTTTTCCACAAAGCCATGCCTCAATAAATATCGTGAACGAACTTAGTCACGCACATATAGCTTTTCTTTGACTTCAGAGTTGACTTGGTAGGACCAACCAATATCACACACTCACTGTGAATTCTAACCAAAACTAAAGAGTTCTCCAGTATGTCTTGTATCACAAATCGCAAACGAACACGTTTTTCTGTAACAGCACAGAAAACACGACAAAAAGGACGTACAAAATGAGCATCAATACCCCCAGTGTTTTGCTCATCCTCCACTTACAAACACCTATTGATATCACCACTGTCAGTAACATTGCGAAAAGCATGATGGTCGAACAAAAGAGCCCGCTGCTCACTACTTCGAAAGCATCTCCGTTGTGCAGAAGACTCCATATAAGCCAAGGTAATGGAAGTCTACAATTTTGAAAAAAGAAAACTATATGTCAAAAGAAACTTATAGATGGGTTTAAACCACCGATCTGAAAATTAGGAATTAAAATAAACATACCCGATTGTGACATCAAATAAATTACTTCCAACCGAGCTCGACACGGCCATATCCCCGTATCCTTTGCGCGCCACGAGAACACTGGTAATAAGATCCGGGATACTAGTTCCTGCCGCTAATACCGTCAGCCCCATGATTTCGTCATCTATCTCCATGGTAACGGAGATTTCCTTAGCCCACCACACCATGAAATATGAAAAGACGACAATCCATAGGATTGATACGCAAAACGTCCACGGGTATCTTCGGCGTTTGTTCTGAACGAAAAATAAATATGAGTGGTGAGACCTGCAGTGGACATGCCATCATGGACTGTCAAAATATGATGGTTTAAGCGAGACATCTTACCGGCTTTCTGACGTCAGATAAAGTAATATGAAGAGCAAACAATATAGGAGCTCGAATGACGTAGACTACCCGATCTTTGAAACTCTTTGGCCAGGACAGATCCAATGGAGTTGGTAGCTCAGCCTGCAACACAAATTTAAAGTTATATACAGTAGTATATAGCCCTGTTCATAGCGCAGGTTTTCGCACTTAAGAGACCGGCCATCACTTACGCACGGAAGAGAAAAGGGTTGGGTACACAAAATGTTTTAGGAGTAAAAGGTTGGGTAAATGAAAAACAAAACAACTCAAAGGTTGGGTAATAAAAACCTTTCCAAAGTATGACTCGTTCAAAATATTGAAGACTAAAAGCAATGTCAATAGTCATATGTCAATACAATATGTATATCAATCAGAGTCACTATCTTGATCATTTTCCGATTTGTCAGGAGGCAAATGGCGTCTCCCAAAGAGAGTACATCTGCAGACAACATGAAACTCTAAATTGCAGAAAATTGCACAAGCAGTTATCAAACTTTTTTGTGACTTTTTAATGGATGGATCAGCAAAATTTTGAACAAGAAAAACATTTCTCTTTGGTGCCACTCCCCGCCATATATAATGATCGGTTCCATTGTCAGGCTATTTTGACGATCCTAGTTCATCGACGAGATTCCGCGAGAATTTCGAGCGTGTAGAGGGACTGAGACCGAGGTAAAAGTTCTACGACAACTTGCGAACATGCAGTATTTCACTTTGTTTTATTATCGTATAATGTCGATGTGAGGCATAATTTTTATGTTGTCTTCAAAATCAAAATGCAACTTTTCATCTGAACAAGAATTTTCTTTCGAGTTTTTTAATCATTCGGTTACCAGCAAAAAAAACATAATTCCATTTGTAATATTTTCTGTTTAAGTATGAAACAATGAAGCACCTGTTTCAAATTACGTGTCTGCAAAAGTACTCAATATGTTTTAATGAATTTTGATGACTTTTATCGGTGATCCAATTTGAAGTTTCAACTGCGAATCCAAATAAAGACGCATTCTGCATGCATCGGGAATTAAAATATATGCATCAAAATATTCAACTGTTTAATTTTTTATGTGTTTCCATAGAAATAATATATGGAAAATTTGCAACAGTTGAAAAAACGCAAATAAGCGACCTTAGATAAGTTAATAAATAATCGAGAACGCTGTTCAATTTAGTGTTAATTTTGAAAATCGATTACTGTCAAAGAAATTAGTCTCCGCGTTCTTAAATACTTTAAATTTTCAGGCGACTTCAATTAAGGAATTGTTTAAAACAATATTGAAAATTTGGCGAACTAAACGGCTACATAGCAATTTCAGTTTTAATCTATACTGTTCTCCATATAGAGATTGAGTACGTGCAATTTCAGTTTTAGTGGTCTAGTGCGTGAACAAACTACACTGTAAAAATGGATTGGTTAAAAACTTAAAATAACCAATTTGAATTGGTTGTCTTAGATATGTTTTCTTTCGACCAATATTATTTGGTCAAAATAACCGAAAAAGTATAGTTAAAATAACCCAGTTTCTGGGTGTTTTAACCATAGATATCTTATATACACTAGATAGTGCATCTAATTATTCTGCAATTCAAAAATTGAAGCCGTGATTGCAGACTCAGGATATTCCCATGAAATGAGAAGACTCGTATGTTTTCTATTTCTTAAACAGGGAACTTAAACATTAAGTTAATTAAACCTATTCCAAATACATTTTCAAAACTATTCAAATGTTGAAAGTTATTGTTGTGTTTTAAGCGTTTATTAGCGAGTGGGAAACTCCAAAATGGCCGCCATCTATTCAAATGGAGGTAACCGCTGGAATATTCTTGGCTTCAATTTTACTAAAAGAGATGCGCTGTCTAGTGTATATAAGATATCTATGGTTTTAACCAATAAAATACTGGTCAAATAAGTGCATTGGAAACAACCAATTCAAACTTGTTATGGTTTAACCATGTCAAGATTTTGTTTGCATCTCACACGATTGAATAATATTTGAAGGGTATTGTGTAGGTGGAACTTTTCTTGTGGAAATTTATATACTTTATTAGACTGTTTTTTTATAGACAGTGTACAGCCAATCGAATAAAGTAACCTTTATTTTTCCAACTAAAAAAACTTATAATGCTTACTATAGAATCGGAGCTTTCGTCAAACGATATTTTTGGCTCAGCAAGTTGATGATAACTTTCGTCACCATTTTCGGTCGTCAAATTTGTGCTGGTCGTCATCACAGAGACGGAATGCAGGCGCACGTTGTCAGCGGACGGTGCAGACGATGTTAAATTGAATGTAGAGTTCGGTAATGTGACGTTGGTCTGACTCAGCTGATCTGCTTGGAGTAATGTGAGATGTGAAGCGGCTTTCATTTCTGTTGTACGGTTTTTGTGACTTATTGATTCCATCTCTTTCGCCAAATCACACACTGAAACTATAAGACGCGGAAAAATGAGTCAATTTTCATATGCATATTCAACCGTGTTAGTCATGCAGGGCCATTTCTAAGTGCTAGCTTCTCAATATTATGCTTGTAATTTTAATCTGAGTGTACATCCACACCGGACAAGCTTGGAAAATATGCCTGTCCGGTCCACGGTGGGAATCGAACCTACGACCTTTGGAATACTAGCCCAATGCTCTGCCAACTGAGCTACGCGGTCAAGTCGGTTCGAATATCCTGACCGCGTAGCTCAGTTGGCAGAACCAATGGCTAGTATTCCAAAGATCGTAGGTTCGATTCCCACCGTGGTCAGGCATATTTTCCAAGCTTGTCCGGTGTGGATACACACTCAGAGTAACATCACAAACATCATATTCACCTGAGTACATTACACCAACACAGAAAACTTCTCAATATTAGTTCACATTTCAGAGAATGGTATATATGACGTTTGTGAGAAAGTGCTCATTTTCACAGTGGTGGAAGAAACTACATTATGTGACCACATTTTGAAATTTTGAAATTTTAAGTCTCTGAAATGCAATTCAATTTGGTCTGGAATCCGAAGATTTTATTGTACTCTGCAATTATCAGAATAATTCATATCTCTGACGATGGTTCTGGGGCCCGTTGTTCCAAAGCCAATTACCTTAACCCTAGGTTAACATAAAAATTCAAAGCAAACTTTCCAACGGCTTGGTTATAAACTTGGAAATATTTCTTCAGAAATTTTGTCTGGACCAATCAGAGTTTTCTTCTCTGAAGTTTTGAAACAAGTAGGTAACAGAAATACACAAACTAAAACAGCAGGTAAAATTTTAACCCAGGGTTAGCGCTAATCCAGCTTTGAACAACCGGCTCCTGGGACCGGTTGTTCAAAGCTGGGTTAGCGCTAACCTTCGGTTAAAATTTAACCTGCTGTTTTAGTTGATGTATTTCTGCCGCTCTGTTTATTTCAAAACTTCAGAGAGAAAAGCTCCTACTGATTCGGACAACATCTCTGAAGAAATATTTCCAAATTTACAAACAAGCTCTTGGAAAGTTTGCTTTGAATTTTACGTTAACCTAGGTTTAAGCTAACCCAGCTTTTGAACAACCGGTCCCTGGTGAACTCGTTTCACGCTATTTCTCTCACCTTCTCTGAGAGGATCAATGGTACGCATAACCAGTTGTAAAACTCCAAAACGAAAACATGGTCCTTCTTTTCCATTGTGTTTCATGTATTCTAATGCTTTCTAAAGAATTAAACGTCAACAGAAAATTTTGCCGTTATAGTTGACAATCAACGTTTCTGTGACCACAGTAGGAATTTTGCATGGGTAAATTCTAAGTTTTGAAGGATTTGCAAGAAATGTTTGAGGGAATTGACTCAGTGTTATCCCTCAAACATTTCTTACAAATCCTTCAAAACTTAGAGTTTACCCATGCAAAATTCCTACTGTGATCACAGAAACTTATCCATATTTTGTTTCAAGTGTTGGTTAAAGTTGGATTGCGCCCTACTTTATTATTTTATTGTCTAACGCCAGACGATTTTACTCGTCAAGAGGGCAACGCTGGTGCTCCGAATCGGTTAAAACATATCTGAGATCTTTAGGAAAATTATTCAACACAATTCATGATTGAAAAGATTTTTATCAAAATCCATTTTAGCATTTTGATAGGGAAAACTTTTTGAAAACCTCATATCCCTCATAAAATGTAAACACCCTGTATAGCCAGTCACGTAGCACGCGTGCTGAATCCTGCATGCTGAACGCCGATGCGATGTTCATCACTTTGTCTATATATTAACTCTATTACGTGACAGTCATCAAAATTTCAGTTTTTGTTCGAGACATTTTTTAGGAATCCACGAATAGATGCCAATGAATTTTTAAATTCGTCAAACATAATCAGTTGAAATCTAATATCAACATCTGAATTGAATGTAAAAAAAATAGGACGGAGGCAGCTGCATTATATACCTCGTCCATGTATTTAATTAATAGAATTTTATCCTTAGTAAATATGGATTCTGGTGACTTCTCTGGGACGAATATTTCTAACAAATATTTTTTTCTTTATCTATATTCGGAAAATATAATTGCATTCTACTGCATAGCCCCGACAAAATTCTCAAAAATGTTCGGACTTTCGAAAGTCCTGTACACTTTGACTGTTTTAGGAGTGATTTGTCCTTCGTTCACAACATCCTCCATATCAGCAGTTCAAAGGAGGCTGGAGGCCAACACGTACTTTGGGCCAACATGCCAAAATGTTGGCCTCATTGCAACACTAGTGTTGGGAATTGTTTGCCGATGCTGGATCGGGTTTGACTTCGTCCATGGCTTTACTTAAAATTTTCACGGCCAACATTGTGGAACATCGGTTCAATGTTGAACAATTTTGGACAACTTGGGCTCGTTTATTTATTACCAAGGTCTGTAGGAGCCGTTCAGACAATGATCCCGCTTTGCCGGGACGAGATGCGGGATGATTTTTGATGAACTGATCAGTAAGACGTATAGTGACACTAGTACACAATTGAGCAAAACTGTATTATATTTTTAGTGATAAGTTATAGTATAGTTGTAAACGAAAGGATGTTCAAGCAACAATAATAATCTTCTTGAACTACAGGATCTTCTCGACAACATTTGAGTTCATTTATGAAACTTTCGTTTGAGCCTATATATAATCATTCCGCCTTGTCCATACCGTCAAAATTGGGATCATGTCAACAGCCCCTTGAACAAGGCTTAAGTTCGCTATTAATTTAATACCAGGGATTATCCCTTACCTTAACGTAAGCGTCCGTGTCTTTCGGGCTAGTTCGGCTAGACAACACAAACGCATCGTCGTCGTCTGCAACCCTATTCCGTCGCGGTAACAACTTCTTAACAAACCGTTTTATCGGCACGTTGTATTTCATGAAGGCAGCGTACGCAAAATACCATATCATCAAGGTGACTGCCTCCCACCAATAAATTTCAGACCTCTTGCCGACACGACCGTTGACAAAGAATACTATAAGCAAAACTAGTGCGATGATATAAAACATACAATCCCTAAACAAAGGCCACCATGTCAGCTGGAGGATTCCTTTCGAAAACACAGCGCACATGCCGATAACAAAAAGAACATTGAATACAGCACTCCCGACAATAGTACCGAATCCGACATTGGAGTTTGCAATAAAAACTCCGATAACAGAAGTGAATAGTTCCGGAGCACTTCCTCCCGCGGCCATGAAGGTAGCACCCGCGACATCTTCGGAGACACGAAATTCGGCCGTGATAACTTCGAGGCTCGGTATGAAGAATTCGTCCGACACGGTTGCCAAAGCAAGGAACATATAGGACAGTCCCAAAACGTGCAGTATGACAGCTCCCTGTTGCTTTTGCTTCAGGGAGAATATGTCGTCGGGGTACTCGTCCTTTCTTGCATCTTCGCTGTCGGATTCGTTCGAGTTCGTAACGTTTGCAGCGACGCTGCGAGGCACACGGGATCGCTTGTGTATCTTCACAGCCTTTTCAAGCGGCGATTTGTTATAATACAATAAACTCGAGCTCAACAAAGCAGCTGCAAGGAATACAAATAACCCAGTCGCCGAGAATACGACTATCGAATTTCGGCTAGGCGAACAGACATGTTTAGGCATAACGAAAACGGTTCGTCAATGCTTTTTACTGCATCTTTGGCTTCGAGGCGAATACTAGGCTTCTTAGAGGCTAAACACGAACGGGCCTCGAGAATTTGAATAATGAAATATATATCTCGATAATGCAGTAACCCCGAAGTGGCAAAGACAGGATGCGGACTGCAGACAGATAACGCTTGAATTCACTTAAACATGTAAACACGATAAGCTCGCGTATGAACTCCAAATAAACCTCAAATGCGAGATAACGAAAGCGTGGCCAGCCAAGCCAAGCTAGTACGTAATAGTTGCTTCAAAAGTCGATCTGTGATATCAATTTGTCGTTTAATAAGCCACGGGACACTATTTGCCCGGTACAAAATATAAAATTGTCGTCAAGATGCGATTCGCCAACTTTTATACTAGATCCTTGGGCGAAGTTATGCTAATACAACAGGCTAATCAAAAGCTGCCATTTCTTGATCAAAAGTGCTTTAATTCCCAAAGAATAGCCGTGTACAAAACGTACTCGCTCGACTTTACGCTAATTTGTTATGCTTAGCAACTGTGTGACGGCCCGTGACCTATGTTTTTATTAAATATCCTCCCATTGGTTGTCAGGACAGTCGTTATACATAATTATAAATAAGTCATGTCTTCTCAAAAACCGCTGTGGCTTGTGAAGTAAAAAAAACACGCGGGGTTTCGGGGTTTGCAGCCTTTTTGTGACCGATATAGCATGATTTAGTAAGGATTTGTCATTTTTGCGGTTAGGTGCGAGATAATGCGGTGTGGATTTCAGACGTAGGATTGCGATAAAATGATGAGTTTACATTGTCCTCAACAAAGAATTTGTTTGAATTTCACGAATTTAATGAGAGTACATTGTGTCAGGTATTATTCTATTAAGTGTCATAGACAATGACAGATCATGCTTCGGTGAGGACTTTTATAGAGTTGATGGCATTTTATATATTAGAGAACGAATGACGCATAATCCGTCGTCAAATGAGTCATCTGTTTGTCAGATCCAAGACAGGATGTTGAAAGGTTCTTGTCAGATAGAATTTTAAGTGTACTGATAATATACATTTTTAAAAAATGTAAACTATGTACAAGCTCGTGCATGGCGATGTAGGTAGTGCAGTGTGAAGTTTTGATCAAGTCCTAGGACTGGATGAAATTATTTGTTCAAGTCGTAGGACCGGATGGGTATTGATTTTTGATCAAGTCCTAAGACTGGACAGAGTTTTGATCAAGTCCTAGGACTGGATGAAGTTAATTTTGATCAAGTTCTAGGACTGGATAAAGTTTTGATCAAGTCCTAGGACTGGATGAAGTTGATTTTGATCAAATCCTAAGACCTGATGAAGTTTGATCAAGTTCTAGGACTGGATGGAGTTTTGATCAAGTCCTATAGGACTGGATGAAGTTTTGATCAAGTCCTAGGACTGGATGAAGTTTTGATCAAATCCTAAGACCTGATGAAGTTTGATCAAGTTGTAAGACTGGATGGACTTTTGATCAAGTCCTAGGACTGGATGAAGTTTTGATCAAGTCCTAGGACTGGATGAAGTTTTGATCAAGTCCTAAGCTGGATGAAGTTTTGATCAAGTCCTAAGCTGGATGAAGTTTTGATCAAGTCCTAAGCTGGATGAAGTTTTGATCAAGTCCGAGGACTGGATGAGGTTTTGATCAAGTCCTAGGACTGGATGAGGTTTTGATCAAGTTCTAGGACTGGATGAAGTTTTGATCAAGTCCTAGGACTGGATGAAGTTTTGATCAAGTCCTAGGACTGGATGAAGTTTTGATCAAGTCCTAGGACTGGATGAAGTTTTGATCAAGTCCTAGGACTGGATGAAGTTTTGACCAAGTCCTAGGACTGGATAAAGTTTTGATCAAGTCCCAAGACTGGATGAAATTTTGTTCAAGTCATAGGACTGGATGAAATTTTGATCAAGTCCTAGGACTGGATGTAGTTTTGATCAAATCCTGAGCGGAATGAAATTTCGTTCAAGTCATAGGACTGGATGAAGTTTGTTCAAGTTCAATAGGACTGCATGCATGATGAAGTTTCAACGAATGTATGAAGTTTTGATCAAGTCCTATTCTGTTCTATTTGTCAATTAGACGTATGGCATTTCAATATTATGATATATGTCAATTATTCCTTTCTATTCACTCAATGCAATAATCGGAAGTTTAATTAGATTTGACATTTACTTTGCCTTCGACCCGCAAGCACCGGTTAGGGGGCGTAATGACATGTTTCTGCGGTGGACGAATTCATATAGTAACTGTATATATATTCCAAGTGGTCGGAAATGATGAAATATTATTGCTTTTTTGTGGTGGAGCGGTAAAAATAATTTTATAATAAAATCATGTAATTGCGGACTTGCATGAAAAAAATCAATTGATTGTCAATACACCCATTTTTGCAATATTACTGTACCACTTACTGTGTAAATGTTTGAATATTTAATAAGTAGAAATTTGCGTGCGTGAGATAATAAAAAGAAGCAATCCACATTATGTATTGCTACCCCCTAGTAACAAACATTAAAATAATTTTTTTTGTCCCAAAAAAGTACGGATAAACCGTCCACGGAAAACGACGCCAGTTTTTTAAATATATAGCCTCCAAATTTTGTTTATACTTAATAGTATTTATAGTGTGCTGACTGACTCAATGCCAGTGGAAAGAGAGCTCAATTGAAAGAATTCCTAAAGCTACGTTTACACGCTGAGATTAATCGTGTACTATTCGTTTTCTGGCGTACGTCATTGAGTAAACACGCGTAAGTTGGCTACATTTGAAATTTTTTTCAACTCGAAACGGCAATGAATGATGGCGCCAGCACTCATTTTAATACGCCAGAATACGAATCGTACACGACAAATCGTAGCGTGTAAACGTAGCTTAATATCAACATGGATAATAAAATAAATGGATAGGACTCTAGCGGACGTAAGCAAAAACAACCTGGTTGCAATCTGTGACGTCACGCGTATTGCAAAGTTCTCAGCATTTTTGTTGTTTCGCTATACTTTCCGCTTAAAAAGAGTAATATTGAAGCATAAACTGGTCTAATTGTTTTAAAAACATGCCTAAGCCACGACAAAGTATTCAAGGTAAATGTTTTTCGTTTTTGTTTTGTATTTTTTTACATTTGTAGCTACGAAATTGGCTTCCCCAATTTTAACGAAATTTGCGATGCATTTTTCACTGTTTAGTGCTTGAAATATTTGCTAAAATTGACTGGGAATACTTAGAGATTTCATCGTACAATGGCGTAGTCATATTTATTTGCTCTTTGACTAAAATGTTTAGCTGTATTATTGCTAAACATGCCGTTTTTGAGAATTTGGTTTGCAACTAGGTTTCAACATCCAACCACGCCATCAGCCCATTGAAAACATTAGATCACGTCAGCTAGTTTCCTATCCATTTATTTTATTATCCATGATATCAACAATATCGATTTCAAAGACAACATTTTCTTCAGCTTTTACAAAAGTAGAGAATTCAATATAAACATTGAAAAAATTTAGAGAATTCAGTTTACAATTTGTGGCACATAATTTGGAATGAACTTTTGAATTGTATTCACTACGCATTATTTTTTTGGTATTTACAATGGAACGGTGTATAATATAAATTGTATAATATAAATTTACAGAAAGTTTTGTGAAAAAATATTTCAGCTTAGCGGTTTTAGTTTTTCGATGATGGAATTGTCTGGTTTCGATTTCGTATAAAAGAATATGTATCCCTTGACTGACTCCACGTGTTTTTCGTCTGACGGTAGCACTGAACTGTCGTTAAAGTTGTACCATTTACCTTAAAGAGAAAATAATTGGTATAATAAGTTTGTTTTACCATTAAATTGTAAATTTGTTTATGTCAACAAATTGCGACATTTATCAATTAGCGAAAAAGTTAGGAATAGATAATATTGCGAGAATATATTTCTTACCATCATGCCACGCGAGGGATGTATAATGTCCAGAATTCACACTGAATAAAGTGAAATAAAAAATTATCATCACCACCACCACCACCACCACGACCACCATATATATTGTACTTACCCACTACCATGGTGAACAATCACAGCAGCTAAATTGTACGTACACGAATCATCGCCGTCACTATCTATCTGTAAGTAATTACATACAAACACGATGGTTCAGACAGTTCCATATATCGTAAATTAAATATCATTTTAATCAAGTACACTACTTCTGGCATTTGAAAACCAAGTTCTGGCATTTGAAAAGGGAGTTCTGACATTTGAAAAGGGAGTTCTGGCGTTTGAAAACGGAGTTCAGGCATTTGAAATGGTACTTCTGGGCTCTGGCATTTGAAAACCAAGTTCTGGCATTTGAAAAGGGAGTTCTGGCGTTTGAAAAGGTACTTCTGGCATTTGAAAACCAAGTTCTGGCATTTAAAAGGGAGTTCTGGCATTTGTAAAGGGAGTTCTGGCGTTTGAAAAAACGGAGTTCTGGCGTTTGAAAAGGTACATACTTACCGTACTAGGTAAAACATAGTCACTCATATCTAAATCTTCTAAAGGAAACTCCACAGTTGTGTCGATCTTACTACGATGAAATGAAACGAACTTGAAACGCTTCAGATGAAGGCAAAGCACCTGAGAATACACCAAAAATTAATTAATGTCTACAGCGACGGAGATTAATAAACATTAAATACACGGTATAATCAAGTCCTAGGACTTTGATTATAAATAAACCAGTCCTCATATAATATACACTATAATTCTAATTATTCATAACATTATTTCGTATAGATGGATTTTTCTTGGGTATACATTAGCACTTACATTTGGAAGTCTTTGTATGCTAAGCTTCTTCGTAGAAATCTGTCTCTTCTTACAACGTGGACAAAAGTATTGTTCACTCTCTTGAAGTTCTTCTACCTTTGTAAAACTGTCTAGACAATCTATAAACACAAAACCAACGTTATGTTCAGTAAAAATACTTCATGTGCAGCATATATAATAACTATATCATATGCAATTTAATTAGAAACGTAATGTATTTAGGGACAGGCAGCGAAGAGGAAAGGGTTGGGTAAACAAAATTTTGAGTAAAAAAATTATTGTCATTTCCAAAGCATGACTCACTCAAATATCAAAGAGTAAAACGCAATATCAACAGACATATATCAATTCAATACAATATGTAAATCAATCAGAGTCACTTTCTTGACCATTTTCCGATTAGTCCTGGGGCCTCATTTCCCATTTGCCCTGGGGCCTCGGCATCTCATCATCCGGCAAATGGTGTCTCCAAAGAAAGTACATGTGCAGACAACATGAAACTGTAGCCTGCAGAAAATTGCACAAGCAGTTATATCAAACCATAGACAATCCAGAAGACATGGACTGAGTGTCTTCTGGATTGTCTATCATCAAACTCATGTCACGGAAGTTGTAAAGGACATGTGTGACAACTGAATGGTATCTTTTTGTGATTTTTTTTTGGCCAGGGGTGGGTGTTTATTTTTTAATTGATATTTGAGGTTGGGTAAAAAATCGTTTTGAAAAAAATAATTTATCAAGAAAAACATTTCTCTTCGGCGCCACCCCCGCCATAAATAATGACAGGTCCCTTACCCTTGAGGTGGCACACAGGGCCATCAAAAAGTCTTGTTTTACGAGATTGAAATTCTTCAGGAATATCCAGTGAAAGATCTGCAAACCATATTATAGAAAATAAAAAAAATTAGCATGTATTCTAGTACAATGGTCTATTTTACAGGTATGTGTATTTAAGATAACAAGAGGTATTTGTACTTCTTGCCCCCTACCAGCAAACTTCATACAGTACATTGACCTGAAAACGTATGCATATTTTTCGGAGTTTCTTACCTAGAAATGGATCGAGCTTTCTCGACTCATTTCCACACCTTGAACAATTCACCTATAAAAAAAAACACAGCCACATGTTACCCTATAGGCTAATGTTACCCATGAATTCACACAATGATCACAGTCTTAGCATGGATGGTTTACACTTTCAAAAAAGTATGCTATCAATTGATTAAACTATGTGTGAAAGTGTGAAGTGAAGACAGAATTTTATTTGAAAAGTCTTCAAGAAGTAACCTATCAACTTGTATACAATACAGATTAATTAATGGGTTAATCTTGGGTAACCAACACACCTGACTTTCCAAGATTCCGCCAAATATTCCAGTGACTATTGTATTCTTTCCATTGCACGCCATTTTTGTGAGTAACAGTTCATTGTGTACTCTGTCCAACAGATAATGCATGAACTCATGCGCATCTTGCTGCTGATAACCTCTAGATGAGGGAAAGCACCTAAGTTATCTACTAACTCGATACCTACAGCAGAAACGTTTCATAAAAAATATTCATACAATTTACTCAATACAATTGATCAATATTAATTGATTATGAAAATAAATCACAGTTCAACCGCTCAAACAATTCGGATCTTAACAATCTTAACTTTTACCTGAATCGCGGAACAACTCGCCAAACGACAGAGAACAATGTTTCTGGAGAGATAGGTCCACTCTGACCTTGCCATAATGCACATAGAATCTTCCTTAGTTCTTCAACCAAAGACCTGTTTCATGATTTGGCAATAAAGGGAGTTTTGAAAAGGGAGTTTTGCTATTTGAAAAGGGTGTTTTGCTATTTGAACAGGGAGTTTTGCTATTTGAAAAGGGAGTTTTGCTATTTGAAAATGGAGTTTTGCTATTTGAAAATGGAGTTCTGCTATTTGAAAAGGGGTTTTGCTATTTGAAAAGGGAGTTTTCTATTTGAAAATGGTGTTTTGCTATTTGAAAAGGGTGTTTTGCTATTTGAAAATGGAGTTTTGCTATTTGAAAATGGAGTTCTGCTATTTGAAAAGGAGTTTTGCTATTTGAAAAGGGAGTTTTCTATTTGAAAAGGGTGTTTTGCTATTTGAAAAGGGTGTTTTGCTATTTGAAAAGGGAGTTTTGCTATTTGAAAAGGGAGATTTGCTATTTGAAAAGGGTGTTTTGCTATTTGAAAAGAGTGTTTTGCTATTAAAATGGGTGTTCTGCTATTTGAAAAGGGAGTTTTGCTATTTGAAAAGGGAGTTTTGCTATTTGAAAAGGGTATTTTGCTATTTGAAAAGAGTGTTTTGCTATTAAAATGGGTGTTCTGCTATTTGAAAAGGGAGTTTTGAAAAGTAAAATCTGGTGTTATACAGAGCAAAATAATGAGGACGTATTTGGGAACATTGCAGGTCAATGGGAACTTACACATCGTCTATATTCTTCATCCTAAAGCTCCGTGTGTAGTATCGTTGTTTTGCACATGCATCCTCACTTCTCAGATCAATGGCAGGAAGTTCTTTGAAATAGCATGTGAATGGTTGTATGTTGCTGTAGGGGAAAATAAGGAAAATATATAGTGTTACATGATGCAACAGACCAATATTAGGCGTAAAAAAATACCTGTGGTTCTGGTTCCCAACCGACCCTATTATTTTTTCAACGTGATTGACTGTGCGACCCTATTTTCTCCAGGTGGTTGCAGGCTGCTCATACAGCGTGCCAAAATGGCATCTGTTGTCATACTAATTATTGAACCAAATTGCCTAAATTTGTCCATAGGAAATACGCATCTCTAGTTAACATTGATGTCGGGACTCTACTGTAAATCGCCCAGCAAAAAACCGCCAAAACCATGAAAAAAATATTTAAAAAAAAATTTATTTCCGACCTACCGACCCTAATTTTTTCACGATATGAAACAGGAACCACAGGGTTTTTTTTACGCCTTATGACATACCCATATTATGCATGTACTATACAGCAAATGACAAGGATGTACCAGATTCTGCTTTGCTGGATCAGTCAGTAGTCAGTATCAGAAAGTAGTTTACCGGATAATAACCAGCTACTGACAGTATAGTACTTGGACGGTATGTCACAGACTTTCTGTCATACAATAGTCCATTGTCTGTTTGGTATGTGGCACAAAGATCATCAGACAATATTACCTAAGAGATTGTAGTACAGCATTCATAAAGCATGTATTGCCGAGATTTCTTAGGCCAGCTAAGTAGTGAGGTCTGCCACCTCTCTTCAGGTTCTCTTGCTAAAAAATAGCACGAAAATGCACATTTTATCATCTTACTGTTTAACACCAGACGATTTTACTTGTCAAGGGGCGAGTGTTGGCACTCTCAATGCAGAGCGGCAAATTACTGTCGGACATCGGACAATGTCCGACTAAATTTGGCAAATGTCCGAGAAAAAGTAATTTTGATCGGACATTGGTGCGATCACAAAAAAAAATTGTCACATACATTTTTTTGCTGTGACAAAATCCAATTGCAAATTTGCATTTTACAATAAAGCATTCTAGCATGATTTTACTTAACATTGCGCCGGAATGGCTATACATACTTGTCTCGTGACTTATATATATATATATCTTGTGACGTATATATGTCTGACCAAATTTAGTGATGTTGGTTTTTGTCTGACCAAATTCAAGTTATGTCTGATCAAAATTAAAAGTGATGATCGGACAAATGTCCTGTCAAGTCAAATATTTATTTGCAGCCATGCAATGGGTTAACGAATTACAAACTTACGTCATCAAGTTTTGAAGATTTATTCGCTCTATGGTCAGAATCGTCTGACAAAACTCTCTTTTTGCCTGGACTAAATAAGGAATGACCGAGTGTTAATCTCATATATTTAACACAAAATATACTGTTAATCTCATATCAAGTGGGGAGCTATACTGGTATTTTTAGTTGAAATAAAATTGTTTGTAATTTGCAATGTCACAACACCTTGTTTCAGTCTTTGCTCGGAGTGCTTCACGATATTGTTCTATTTTCCCTGTTTTTGTGTCGTTTATTATAAATTCATCACATATGTAGCTGAAATTTAAGAAATTAAGGATGGTTTATAGGTAACCCCTTATACTTTTTTCAAAAAAGAGGATTTGTGATTTTTGCTGCACTTAAATTTGAAAAAAAGGGTGCAACAATTACTTTGTAGAAAATATTATGAATGTCACCTTGCACATATGCATTATATACATAAATTATTTAATTATTACATAAATTATTTAATTATTATAATATTGAACTACTAACCAAAACACAGCTAAACTCTGGTCCAAACATACACTGTGTGAAATATTGCTTTCATAATGCGCTTTGCCATGTCCGTTGACATATCTAGTACAATAGTATAACAGTAATTAACCATTAATTCACATTGCACCCCAATGTGTCCTACTTTATCATTTTACTCTGTCCAATGCCAGATGATTTTACTTGTCAAAGGGAGAGCACTGGAGCAGAGTGGAGACCTTACAGAAGTCCGACTTCTTGGTTCTGCCTATGATTTGGGCGTAACCATTACAATGCTGTCACCATGTTCTTAGCCAGTGTACTTACGAGAGGCACTCACCCCCCTGATAATATTCAAAATGGTGGACATTCAGGGTGGTGAATGCCTCTTGTAAGCACACTGGCTAGAAACATGGCAGTGGTTACGCTTTTTTGGCTGAGTCGCCCTTCTGTAAGATCTCTATTCTGTGATAGAAGTGAAGCAGAAACAGACGGTTGTATTTTCTTGCACAAAAGGCGTGCTTTGAAGGCAAGTTCATCCTAAGTGGCCTGGAAATAGTGTTTATGTATAAGAATTTCTTGTCCCGGCAAGGCAGGATTCTTGCAACAGATGCCAGGATCCTGTCTAGCCAGGGTGATATGAATACTCAACAGAGTTTACATTACAAATGGGATCTTGGCAACCGTCCCGCCTTAGCCGAGATCACATAAACAGGCTGTTAACAGACGACATTATTTCCTATTCATTGCCTTCTAATTTCCCATATTTATATTGGACGACTTGGTCATTTCCAATGTCTTAAAATATAAATACGATAATTGAAATATAAATATCTTATGTAGGTTCTTGACATTGTTTCAACAATAAGAAATTAATATTCGGGATGTATTATTAAAGCATTAAAGAAATATACTTGCACACTCACCCTAATATTATGTAATTTACAACATAATATCTACAGCATATAAATAGTACACCCAGCATAATAGAAGCATTACATTTTGACAAAAATTTTGAGTGTTTATATAAATAGCCATATTAATTTGTACAGGGATTTTATTTCAATATTTCACAAATAATAAAATATACGTATTTTATAATATACCTTCCACAATTGACGATGCCACATTTTAAACAAATCCACGGGCTTTTGGTGGACTTGCATTCTAAATAAAACGAAACATTTATATAATATAAATAACGGAGATCAACCAGCGCCAAAATGGAGCGAATATCCGACACACGCCGGTTGTACACAAGTTTATACCCAAGCAAGTCCATAGCTGTAAATCACGTTGTAATTTCTCTACGAGCGCCACGTCGATTTGCACAGCTTTCTCCAAATGTGGGCAGTCCATCCGCGTGGAAAATTGCGGCGAAATACAAAATCCAGCTTGTTAAATCGAGTTGTTTTTCTTCTATTTTGAGTGAAAAAGTTTTTCTTGCGAGTAAAATTTCGTAGGGGAATTGTTTCACAGGCAAGATAGAATTCAAGCTGGGCTATCAGCCAATCACATTGCGCAATGGCGTCATTTGTTCGTTGAAATTTGAAACCTTACTTCCTGCTTCCCATTTCCGCGCCAAAAGGTTTTGATGAATTATTCAATTTTGTCAAATTTCATGGTCCAAAAGTTCATTTCCATCGATTGAATTTGTAATGTTTTAATATTATGAAATCGTAAGAATATTGCGTTGGTAAATATTGCTGTTTTTATTGTTGTTAGAAACTTAGAATATATAATTAAAATTTAATCATTGGTGTTATATATGAATGGTCAGGCAGTAGGGGGAGGGGGGAATTATCGTGTACAAAATGTGCCTTTGGTAAGTGAGTGGGGGTGTGCTAATCATCCTTTAGGGTGGATTTCCATTCAGTGCAAACTTAACGCAATCAAAGTACACAATCGATTCGAAGCACACAAACTTATATCATGCAATTGAAGTTTGGGGATATCACTTTTTTGTCTCCTGAGCACTCAACCTGAAACGTTCTAGTCGAGAGCTCACAAGACAAAAGAAAGCGGTCGCCAGAAGTCGATTGCACGGCATTTTGCACCGAATGGAAATCCACCTTTACTGAGAGCCAAACTGAATTGCAAAAGATGCAGATCATTGGATAACACATTGAGTCGATCAAAGAACTCTCCCCTTGATGAGTAAAATCATCTGGCGTTAAACAGAATAGAATAATAAAGTAGGGCTCATGAGGGTACATATCACAATCTTGGCAATGTGATTGGTCAGTGAAAAAATTTGCCACAAAAAAGTTGATCAGTTCCTATATACTCTTCACTGTTTGCACAAACAAATTTGCCTAGTGGAAAATGTGCTTAAAATGGTTAATCATGGAGCACAGCTTTGGTGGAAGGGTCAGTTAGAAGGTAATTGCAAGCCACCCTGTCGACATTCCCTGTGGATTGAGGAAACCAGAGTACTTGGAGAAAACCCACGACGTTCAGTAGGTGTTGGCCGACTTTTTTCATACAAGCGTCATGTGTTTGCAGTGTGTTGGACTAGTATTAAAGAGTGCAAACACATTGCAGCTTTTAGGAAAGGTCAATGTAAAGTAGTCAATAAATCACGCATAATTAATTGTCTGCCTGTTTCAATGTAGATTTCAATGGAACGAGAACATTTTCTGGAGCTTGTATACAAGGGTGTGTTTGTCTTAGTTTTGCTTCATGTTGGAGCACTTGTATCCTTACTCTGGCATATATAGTGTATTACATACTATTGCATGGAAAATTCATCTCATTATGTAATATCTCCTTAGACATCATACTTGACAAATTTATTCACAGGATTCAAGATCTCTTCTGACGAGAATCCTAAAAAGGGCCAAATCACTTGATGCATGCATGTAGGCATTTGGCCAGGTACGTGGCCGTCCAACCATCCTATGGATGGCCACAATAATTACCTGGCCTTGCTGGTCTCCAGAGCCAGATATTTCCCTAGAATTCTGTATAACATGCATATATTCCTTGACTTCGATTGTCCTCAGGCATATTGGATGTATTGTGTTTTCACTGGGGAAGGTGAAGGAGAGAGACGGAAAACTTCTAAGTTGCACTGACTAATGAGACATAATGGACTTATTCTAATTGTTTTTGTCAAAGAATCTGTGATTATTTATAAAGGCTAGCTAGGGTCTACTGCTGCCTGCCAAATTTCTTAAAATGGCAGTGGATGTTTAAAAATTGGGCGGGTAGGCCATGGGTTAATGACTAGGTTCCCACCAAACAAACAATTATATTAATAATTTTATCACAATGCAAAACTTTTTTTACTTTACGGTTTTTTGTACTTTTGCCTCAATGACCTTGTGTCCATTGTTCGCTTCTTATAATAGAATGACATGTGTACATAGTTAATTTATGTCCCCATGTCTCATGCACAAAGTCTGTTACTTTTTTATCTCAAGGCATTATGAAAAGTGCCACATGAAAAGCAAGCCATTGGGGCAAGAATGCAATAAACAGTAATGTCAGTATACTAATTGACAAATTCAGTGGACAAATTAATTATATCTAAAATAATTATACAAAATTGTTAAATAGAAATACACATGATAATTGATGGAATGGAACCACAAAATATAAAATATCACAAATTTAACTAGAATTTTCATTAATTACTTGGCACATCAAAAGTTGGTCTGCCCTGGTCAGGTCAATGTCTTTTGTTTACTTTTTCACCATTTTGTCCACTTTTCTGTTTTTTGAAAAAATGGCAAAAAACTGAAGCAATTAACAAAATGTTAAGGCTATTACCACTTAACAATTTGTTGAAAAAGTAGATCTCAATCAGATCCCACCACGGATAAAAATTATTGGTGTCTATTTTGTATAATATCCTGTAGAACATCAACACCAACATTTCCACCACACATTAATAACACAATAGTCTCTCCTCTGTGATTTTCTTTTTCTTTTGTGTAAGCAGCGACACACACGGCAGCTGCACCCTCGACTAACTGTGGAGAAAATCACAATTACTCAATTTGTAAAGTCACTAAAGTGCTATATCAATTTACTCATACTTCGACATAGTTATAGTCACATAATGAAAGTCAGTTAGCGAGATACATTTCTAAACGTTCGACAATGCAACTCATTAAACATTTTTAAGCATGTCCTGTTGCTATGGCTAGCTTTGCCACTCAGGTCACAAGTCGAGTGTCTTCAATTTGACTCTACCATGTAAACAGACTGGTCAGTCTAGACTACTAATCCGATTTTCCTCTGTAGTAACACTGGTCCCTTATGGAACTGTTGAAATAGATTCATAGAGCTATACCCATGCTGTATAAATGAAGCTAGGTGAGTTTATGTTTCCACCTATACTAATGTCACCATTATACCTATGTCACCTCTAGAGAGACAGTAATGCATGACGAGGGTCTCCTAGGGGGTGGGTCTGTGTTCCCTTCCCTTGTTCCCCTTGCAAAATTGGCTTGTTCCTCTAAAACACCTAGGTGCGTGTTTATATATACCTTGTGTTCTTTGTGTAACATGAAGTACATTGCCTGAGAGATCTCGTCTTCAGAGACCAGAATCCATTTATCAACATACTCGCAGCACAAGTCAAATGTGAACTAAAATGACAAATAAAATTTGACCAAAATTTAATTTTCAATTTTTTTTAAATGTGTTCTCTCAAAGTCATTGTTTTCATGAAACAACGTTTTTGCCCAACCTCAGAACATTTGGGTGTGGTCCCCCCCCTCCTACCCATTCGACCAAAATATTTAAATTTAAAAAAAATAAATTTGTCAGATTAGAGTTGAAAACTGAAAGTGGGACCACATGTTAAAATGGTATTATCTTAGCATTAAATGACATAGACTTACGGCATCAGGGTCTACTCCACCAGCTGAACCGTCAGACAATGTGGGCAGTGAGGGAAGATCAAGGATTTTTCCAGCTTTGCAGGATTCATACATTACACAAGAATTTAATGGCTGACAGCCAACAACCTAAAACCGAAAGTGTGAACCAATAAAACACAGGTATGACAACCTCAGTCTATATAACCCATTAATTTTCAAAGACTCTCCCTTGGCAAGTAAAATAGGGATCAGATTAAACTAACATAGGATGCACTTTACCCATTTCTTTTATTTCATTTAGTACCTTAACAGAGGGTTTCATAGCTTTCATGTATGTTGCAATTCCAGAAATAAGACCTCCACCACCAGTACAAATAAAAACTGAATCAACACCTGGTAAATCTTCCAGAATTTCAAGCCTAAACACAATAGCATAAAAAATTTAAAACCAAAGCCAATATCACTTTAACCCATAAAGCAAAGCAGCAAACTTATTTCTTCAGGACTAATCCAAGAATAAATACATTAAGGCTGAAATTAGGCACTTAACCCATCGAGTCTCATTGCGTCCTGATGCGCCCTACATTATTTTACTCCATCTAACAGCAAGACAATTTTACTCGTCAAGGGGAGAGTGCTGGCACTTAATGGGTAATTAATAGCTGTGACAACATGTTAGCTGTCATCAAGAATTACACTGTATAGTGCAATAAAATTCAAGCTAGATTTGAGTAAAATAATCTGGTGTTACATAGTGAATAGTGTTGCATGGTTTCGATCAATATATAAATATATGAATTATTTTACATAGTAATACCCAATAGTAGATTGGCCATGAACAACTTGCATGTCATTATAAGGAGAAATATACATTGCACGCCCGGTCTCTTGTGCAATCTGTTTAGCTCGAGCCTCTGCCTTCACACAATCATCACCATATATTTCTAACTTGCCACCATATTTCCTGATTGCATCCATCTTGGCTTGGGCCGCACATTCTGGGACGAATATTTTTCCTTGCACCCCTAGAGTTTTCATAGCCAGTGCCTAATAAAACAAGATGGAAATACATGCTCATTTTATGCCGACACTACAGTCAACTCGCTCCTTTAGCGACATGGCTTTAATAGGGATACCTCTCTAAATACAGACACCTTGATCTCCAATATAGGTACCTCTAACAACTCTTAACACAGACACACCTCTTTAATGTGGACACCTCTCTAATGAAGATACCTCTCTAATGAGGACACCTCTCTAATGAAGACACCTCTCTGATACAGACACCTCTCTAATATAGAGATCTCTCTAATACAAACACCTCTCTAATACAGATACCTCTCTAATACAGACACCTCTCTAATACAGACACCTCTCTAATACAGACACCTCTCTAATACAGACACCTCTCTAATACAGACACCTCTCTAATATAGAGATCTCTCTAATATAGAGATCTCTCTAATACAGACACCTCTCTAATGAAGACACCTCTCTAATACAGACACCTCTCTAATATAGAGATCGCTCTAATACAGACACCTCTCTAATGAAGACACCTCTCTAATACAAGCACCTCTCTAATACAGACACCTCTCTAATACAGACACCTCTCTAATACAGACACCTCTCTAATACAGACACCTCTCTAATACAGACACCTCTCTAATACAGACACCTCTCTAATACAGACACCTCTGCAACTATTGTTAAGTCATCGAGTGGTAGCACTTTGACCCCTTGACAAGTAAAATTGTCTGGTGTTATGGAGCCTCAACGGCGCATTGCCACTTAAAAGGTTGAACACTGGACCCCCACTAATGCTAAACAAATAGAACACCTACACAAGCCAGCCCATGGTTTCCAGATGAAGCAGTTGTAATACTGTACTGATTTTCCTCTGACAAAGAATCATTCGTCTCTTTGACTATGCAAATCTTGTTGAATGCTCCTCTTGCTTTGAATGAACCAGTTATTTGTTCACTTTCTTAATAACATATCAATAAAAGTTTCACAAACTGTGATCATACAAACTAATTTTGGTGCAAATTGTGTGCTGTAAACAAGGATTAATCCGATTAAAGAGCGAGACTCCCTACATTGATGATCGAGTAAAATTGTGTTACAGAGCGTGTTACAGAGTAACACAAAATGTGTTAACTAAATTGTAGCAGATTGCATGTGCTTCATCTACCTGAAAAACACAAGACATTTTGATCAAAGGCTCTTTGTCAGAAAGGACTTCCCAACTAAGGCATGAATCACTCCCCCAAGGTCAGACCGAGATCAAGGGGATTAAACCCAGCCCAAATGAGTTGGGGGGGGGGGGGCGTCTAAAATCGTCAAATACACAGAACTATTGGTTCCAGGCAACCCCTGGAAAATGCTTCTATTTTGGGGGGGTTCTACTTTCGAGTACTAACGTAAATAACCTTACCCATTTTCAAATATACATTAGATTCGGTGCTTTCGTCACTTAGCCACAAAGATCGATACAGCGCAGTTTTATGCACATGTGGTCGTATTCTGTCACGCGCCTTTTGGACATCTACCACTGAAGTTTCTAAATATTTCTTTGCTAATGCTTTTCGTTCTTCAACTGTAAGACCACTCATTTTGCAAAAATTTTGTAATGTACCAATGTAACAATTTATAAATATATAAAATTTGCAACAAATCGCTCAGAAATCAGAATTTGTACCACACACATATATTACTCGTAATATACATCATTGTACATCATTACCCATAATTATCCATCATCTTACCTTATATATGCTTTACATAATTATACACAATTATGCATAATTACATTAATACCCATGATATTAATTCATGTTGATTATGTGGTACATATCATTATCATTACATTATGCATCATTCATCATTTGCAGTACCATTCCATACACCATTCAAAAATTATTTATCATCATGCAAAAGAGATTTGGCCACTTTTTCAAAAACCTGAAAAGTGGCCAAAAATACATGGTTTTGTCCAGTTTTCCCCCAAAATGAATAGCGGTACGTCTTTCATGGAAAGCTTTAAAACTTTATAGCAATGTTCTGGGAATTCAACCCAGAAACGAATCAGTACTGCGTTTGAAAATGATCTGCACGACTGCAAAACTGCAGAAGGTTTTTTCTTATACTCCACGAGTTTTGATGGATCATTTCTAACCTCGGTTAATAATTGTGGTAGAATTAAGCATTAAAATCTTGCCTTATGGCTTGCACTTTTACTGGAAACAGTATAAGTTCTGGACAGTTTCTCAATTGCACGGTGGAGATAAACACAGACTATAACCACCGCAAGCACCATGCAGGCTGTGTCACAAAA